CTGTCTCTCTGAGGTTCACCTTGCAGCAAGTATCCCAAGTCTAGATCAGGGACACGTCAGCATCTTAAAATCAGTTCACAGAAAAGGAAAGAGCCTGCTGGACCTACGGGAACTTTTTAGGTAACATGGAGAATCCAGAGTCCTTCTGTAGCTTTTCTGGAGCTCTCCAAGGTCTTCCTGTAGCTCACAGGCACGCCTGAACCCCCCAGTGATGTGTAGGGTTAGACCCTTAAAGCAGGCAGCTTTGTCTGGAGGGTGGTTTCTGACAGTACGCCCCTCATCTTCAGCACTCCGTGCTCTGATCTCTGGGAGGTGTGACAAGGAGACAGAGGGAGGGGACTCTGGCTGCCCTGTTTGTAGCATTCTTTGCTCTTGTTTTCCACGCCCTCCTGGTCTCGGGGTGGGGGGTGGGGGGTTGTGATGAGGAGGCAGAGAGAAGGGACTCTGGCCGCCCTGCCCGTGCCCACAGCCCTCCCCTGAGCTCCCCGAGGCCCAGCTCCACCGACTCCCAGCACCTCATGTCTTGGCACATTGCAGGGGATCCGTACGTATTTACTGATCGGATGAGAAAGAAGCAGCGCTCAAGGGGGAGAAAATACATGTACAAATGACGTCTGAGCAACACCCCTGATTTGTAATGTTAGAAATAGCTGTTTCTAAGCACGATGGTTGAGATGTGGTGTTGTCAGCAGACGCATTCAGGAAAGAAGGAAAATGCATGACAAGGGCCGAAACTGTCACACCTAGAGATGGAAGAGCCCTTAGTGGGTGTCAGCCTTTGTTTGGAAGACATGGAGACTGAGATAGAAGGAGGTGGAACAGAGGGCCTAAGCCCCCTGGGCTGTGGTGGTGGAAACACAGCTGGAGCCCAGGTCTGCTGCCACAGCAGAGGCCCCTTCATCAGGTCCCTGTGGTCACACTGGGGGCAGAATTCCAGCGCTTGTCCCCCTGGGCACAGGCGACGGGGTGGGCTGTCATGCAGAAGGCCTGGATCTGCAGACTGCCCTTACTCTGGCAGAATCACCTTGGCTCATTCTGTTGCTCCTGATTAAACACCTTTCTGGAACCAGAGAAGCCTCCTAGAGCTGTTCTAGACACCACGGAGAGATGCTGGTGACAGCTCCTGCGATGCACACATACCACCGCAAGCCAGTCCCAGCCAGGGAGCTCCAGTCCCACAGAAAACAGCAACTCAAGAACCTGCGGATGCAGCTGGAGGTGGGGAGTTAAGCTGAACCCCTCACAGTGCACATGCTGAGAGGACAACCTGGAACCCCCAAAGGACGTGGGCAGCCAGGGAGCAGGAGCCCTGAGGAACTCTCACCCCAGGTAGGAAAGTAAAATCATGGCCCCATGCAAGGCTGGGGGCGCAAGTTCGTTCTTCAGGCACTCTCCCTGGCTTCTCTGTTGAGCAGGCCTTGTTCATGAATAGCACACATCTCCCAGTTGTCTATGTGGTGGATCATCGAGTAGACTATGATCTGGGTTTAAATACAAACACACCTGGGATGTTGTCTTACTGTGGGTGAACTTGGGTGAGTTGTGGAGCCTCAGTTTCCTCTTCTATAAAATGGGCATATTCGGAGCTGTTGGTTCGTCAAGGAGATTAAAGGAGACAGCTCCTGTGACTCTCCAGGTCAGTGCCTGCAAGAGTTAGCGTGCAGTGACAGGTGGCTTGGCTGGTTTCATCATCAGGATGGGTTTTGATGGTCAGTGACCTGGAGGTGCTCACACGCATGGGGGTGGCTGCTGACTGGGCACCAGGCCAACCAGCTGTCACCCTCCCCCTGGTATGGCTAGTCCATGCTGTCACAGAGCATGGGCCACCGGTCTGAGCAGAAAACTGACACCTTAGATCATTCCTGAGTGCAGGTGAGTGTGTTGTTCTGCAGTGGCCATTTATAGCTGTCGTTCTCAAAATTGAGTGTATCCCCAGGAAATGTGTGGCTTAAGAAAGCCAGACAACTAGAGGCCAAAAAACCCCCATCCATCCGTTAGTCTAAAGCATATCTTCATTACTTAGAAGCAGAAAGAGTGTGGGTCACTCCTGCCACTCAGAGAGGGGCAGGTCACACTCTTGCCACAAATCCTGTTGGCACTGAAGTCATCTCACACCAGTTGCACCTCTCAGCTTGGCAGGACGCTTGTGAGGAAGGCAGAGACCTGAGCAGAGGCTCCATCACCCCAGTGCTGACCCCACTGAGCTTCAGACAAGGCAGGTGTAATGTCCATGTCTGTGTCCTCATCCATAAAAACCTAAAGCAGGAGTCCTGACCTCCCGCAGAGAGAGTGTCTACAGACTGCTTGGAGAGTGACAGTGGGCAACAGCGACTGTGCAATTTACAGATTTCTATTTATAGGTCACCCTTCAGGCTGAAACGAATTTGTCATTGTCCTCCGGGCCCTCTCTTTCTACTGTGCATGTAAGGGGAGGTGGTGGTGGGATGTGGGGAGGGGCGTCTGCAGGGGACGCTCCAGACTTGGTGGGACAGAGCCCACCTCCCCCCTAGAGGACAGAATGTCCACTCCCCCTGATCTGGGGTGCCCTCGGCCTGCAGCGCCCTGAGGTAGGGTTTTGGTTCCTAGCCAGATATCGAGGGCAGGCTCTGGCAGGGAGAACACTGAATCCCAGGCACTAGACCAACTGGGACCAGTGGCAAGATCCTAACCCATCAGCTGTGCAGAAACAAATTTCCACATATAGTCAAAAAGTAGTGAAACAAGTAAAGTGTTTATTAGGGGGAAAAAGAATACGGTGTGTGTGTGGATAGACTTACACACGGGCTCAGAGAGTTGTGCCTTTCTGGTAGTTCAAATCACCTTTATGGGGCATTTCTTCTGAGTTTCCTTTGGTCAGTCATCTTGCTTTGCCTGGTCCTGAGTGTATTAGGTATCTCAGGATGCTCCCATGTGTGCATGGTATCTCTTAGCCAAGATGGATTCTAGCAAAGAGGCCTGTGGGTAGGTTGCCATCACTTACTATAGGGTGACACCCTCTCTGTTTTGACCTCCAGGGAGACTTTCTGCACAGGTGTAGTCAGGGAGGTCTCCCTAACTTCAGGAATGAGGAATATGTGGCCTTTTGTCTTTTATCTGGACAGGGCTCAGCCTCCTACATCATCCTGCTTTTATGGAGTTTCTGTCCACAGGGGAGAAACTGTTCAGCCTGGGGTCCATCCATCTCCTGCCTCAACCCTGCAGTACCATCTTTTAGGAAGAGCTTCTCTGCTTTGGAGGAGAGGAGCTGTGGCAGGCCTGCACCCTTTCCTGGTCCAGCGAGGCAGGCGTCTGACAGGAGTACTGACTTCTCCCCATCTCGCCTCTCAGAGCAGGGCCTCTGGCCACAAGCCCAGTGGTCTGTGTACCCCAGCCTGTCTTCGTGCATGCTGTGATTGAAGCGGGCTGGAAGGTACCTGCTGTAGCCAGAGGCAGGTAGGAGGTGCCTGAGGCAGAGCACACAGCCTTGCAGACACGGGAGAGGGAAGCTCATTTCAGGACTGAATGACTGTTATCTGGCCCCTTCCTCTCGGGTGTGTCTCACAGTCTGGTGGTGGGACCAGCAGGGGCAGAATCTTCCCATTGCCTAAATGAGGGAAAGAGAGGCTTTGTGGTGATTTTCTAGGGGTGCTCCTGCTTAGACCCAGGCCCTGGTCCCTGCTGAGCAAATGTTCAGTGGGTGGGAAGACAGGCTTGAGCTCAGCTGAAGTCAGAACCAGGCTCAGGCTCAGAAGCCAGATGAAGTCCCTCTTTTATCTTTAAAAAACCAACTTTGCTGCTACACTCCATTCCAGTTTAGAGTTAAGTTACCAGGGAGCATGAGATCAGAAGATGATTTCCAAGACCGTTTTCCTTCTGCTTCCTGCTTTACCAGCGCTGGTCCTACCACCCTCTTCAGTCTCCCAGGGAGGTCTTCCCTGACTGCCAACCCGCCCCTGTAGCCTGCTTCTCGCCAAGTGCGCCTGGAAATGTTCATTAACTGTAAGATCCCTGACAGGCAGAGAGAATGGGGAAGTAGGACCCTCGGGGGTGAGAGATGACAAACCCGATGAATTGGGCCATTGCTATGAGTTAGATGTCCTTTGTTAGAAAAGGAGGAATTGCTACGACTGTGACTTTAAGAGTAAAGTCCCTTTTGAAAGCCTGTCTCTCACCTGTCTAGAAGAGAGATTGCACATCCTTCATCCTTCAAGCCAGAAACCACACGTGGCAGTTTTTCTCTCAACTGTACAGATGACTGCTTTTTTCAGAAGCCTTAAACGCAGCCCATTCCATTCCAGTTTAGAGTTAAGTTACCAGGGAGCATGAAGTCAGAAGATGATTTCCAAGACCGTTTTCCTTCTGCTTCCTGTTTTACCAGCGCTGGTCCTACCACCCTCTTCAGTCTCCCAGGGAGGTCTTCCCTGACTGCTGACCTGCCCCTGTAGCCTGCTTCTCGCCACGTGCGCCTGGAAATGTTCATTAACTGTAAGATCCCTGACAGGCAGAGAGAATGGGGAAGTAGGACCCTCGGGGGTGAAAGATGACAAACCCGATGAATTGGGCCATTGCTATGAGTTAGATGTCCTTTGTTTTTGCTACGACTGTGACTTTAAGAGTAAAGTCCCTTTTGAAAGCCTGTCTCTCACCTGTCTAGAAGAGAGATTGTACATCCTTCATCCTTCAAGCCAGAAACCACACGTGGCAGTTTTTCTCTCAACTGTACAGATGACTGCTTTTTTCAGAAGCCTTAAACGCAGCCCATTTCCCTGCTCACAGAAACTAGTCTCGACGCAGGCTGAGTGGGACAAAAGGGCTCCATGGAAGCCCGTCAGTGTTCTCCCCTAGGTTAACAGAGTTTCGCCTGGACTCCCCGGCTCGGGCACTGTCCGCCTGGACGAGGGGCACTACGAGAGCTGGCCAAGTACCGAGGCTCAATGCAGCGTCTTCTGCCTGTGGTGCCGTCTGCCCTTACCTCGTGACAGCCTCGATGGTCATCAGTTTCCCTTCTCTTTACACTTCAGGGCTTGAAGAATCAGGCGCGGGTGAAGCTGAATATCGTGAGGTGTCCGCCGGTGACCACCGTGCTGATCAGGAGACCGGACCTTCGCTACCAGCTGGGGTTCAGCGTCCAGAATGGAATTGTAAGTTCAGCCCCATACCTATTCCAGAAGTCTGACCCACGAAACCAAGGCCCAGGGTTTGGGTCTTTGGGGGATATTTTTTAAAGCTGGTCAGTTCCCAGAAAGAATCTGGCAAGAGAGGGATGGATGGGTGAAGGCATACCCACTTCCTCCATGGGCAGAGAATTCGGTGCCTTCCCTGGGAGGAGAAGGGTCCTCCCAGAGCGGTGGTCCTGGAGACCAATGTCTCTGTGATGCACAGGCTGGCCCTCCCAGCTGCCAACTTGAGATTGTTTGGGAGGTACCCACCTTCCCCACAGCCTTGGCTGAGAACCCAGACCTGTGGGGCTTATGCGTGAATGATTTCCTCCTTGCCTTCTTGGCCTGAATTTGGCACTTTGGGGATAAAGTGTATTTTCATCACTTGGATGTCTGCCTTCAAATACTGGGTTAGCCAAAAAGTTCATTTGGGTTTTTCCACAAGATGTTATGGAATAAACCCAAACAAATTTTTGGTCAACTCAGTACTTCCCTTTTTTCCCCTTTATTGTCATAAAACATACACAGTAGTAAGCTTGCCATTTAAACCATTTTTAAACATATAATTCAGTGCCTTTATAGGACATTCATGAAGTGGTTGTAACCATCAACACTGTATTTCTAAAACATTTTCTTTACCCCAAACAGAAACCCCGTATTCAGTACTACTCCCTTTTCATCCTGGTTTGCCTTGGTCTAGACTCATAGTAATTCTGGGCTTTGGTGACAAATCGCTAACCTTCTGGATATTCTAGATCTTTGCATTCATCTTTTCAGATAGAAAAACCTACACTTTTTCTTCCTTTAAATTTTAATTGACTTGTAGGTAATTAAAATTTTATTCCAAGTGTGTCTTAAGAAATACCTTTGAAGTTCCCAGTTGGAGTTGAAATACCTAACCCACTTTATCTATTTTTTGTACCCACGTAGCCTCATTTCCTTCTTAAGAGAAGAGCCAAGGTTATTCCTTATAGTTTTGGTCTGACAACCTGTTTTTATCTGTTTAAACTTCCTGTGTGTGTTTTTCCACAGTTGAATAACATTAGAAGTTGTTCAGCTGTTAACAGAGGATTGCCCTAGAAGAGATGCAGAGCCCCCAGTTTTCTCTCAAGAGGACCTGGCAGGCTGCAGGGTCCACACGCTCACAGACACAGAAAGCGTGTTGTCCCGAGATGTTGCAGTGTCGTCTGCATAGGCTTTTAGAGAAAGGTGCAGAGTCAGGAGTGAAGTCAGCTCTGTTAACTCAAACCGTGTTCCTCTGGGACAATTGGAGCTGCTTTGTGGGTGAGGTGGGGGTGCCTGCAGTGTGCAGGCCAGAGCCCTCCACCAGCCTCCAGCCTCTGCCCACCACCGTGCCTGCTGGCTGCACTGAGACAGAAAACAGCCATGTTGTCATTTCTGCCAGCGGGGAGTGGAGCAAGGACCGCTGAGCTTCTGCCCGCCAGCTGGCCAAACTGTGGCACACGCAGTGGGGTTCTAGCAGGTTCTAGCCCCAGCGTAAGTTATGCAACTAACCCTAAAAAGACAGCTGCTAGCATCACACAGTTCAGTGTTTGAGTCCCAGATAATACTGACCTGCGTGACATAGACTGACGGTTTGAAAACTGGCAGCTCTGTGACAGGCCCAGACAGCTCTTTTTACCAAAGCTGAGCTGGGATGAAAAGTAGTCTGAATTCACGGGGCCGTGAAATCCAGTGATGTGCTGTGTTCCCTGTGCAGACTGTGTGAACATGAGGGGGCCGTCTGGGGGTCCACAGTCCACTTGCTTGTAGAAACAAAGATGTGAATGTCCAGAGCCTGACCATGGCAGCTTCTCAGAGATGAGAGCACTGGGGGTGGAAAATTCTAGAAAAGACAGTCTCCTGCCCCAATGGGTTTCCTAACAGGCAGTGCCCCCTGGGATGGGTCACTTGGCCTCTGACTAAATTTGGCCTTTGACTCTGACAGATTTGCAGCCTCATGCGAGGGGGAATAGCAGAGAGAGGAGGCGTCCGTGTGGGACACCGCATCATTGAAATCAACGGGCAGAGCGTGGTGGCCACCCCACACGAGAAGATCGTCCACATCCTCTCCAACGCTGTGGGGGAGGTAAGGGAGGGGCCCGGGGTGGGAGTCCCCTGGCACCCCTCATCCCAGCCAGGAAACCCTCCTGAGAGTTCTTCCACATCCTGAACACATCTCCACAACCAAACTGTCTTGGACCAGAATTTAAACCCAGTAACTGGTTGCCTGACAGCTGATTCTCCAAAACATCATCACATCACATCACATCATCACCTCAGCCTTCTCCTCCAGCAGCGTCTACCCACCTCCTCTTCTAATTCTCTAATGTGGGCATATTCTCCCCATGGCTACCCAAGTTTTCTCCAGCTAATCCCACCGAATGTGCCTGCAAGATTTAAGTCTCAGATTCAAGTCTAATCAGCAGCTCCCTGGGACGGCCAAGCTGAACAGGGGTCTGAACAGCTGTTCTAGGGGAGGGAGGGAGGCAGGAGCAGCCAAAACCCCACAGTGGTCCTCCTCCTGTTCTAAGGGGTTCTCCTAAAAAAAAAAGCCAAAGCCTGGTGGAGAGCCAGAGCTTTGGGGAAAGTAGAGCATCCCTGGTTTTCATTCTTCACTCTCTATCACCCCTAATGTTTTAGAAAGCCCCTGGACTCTGCTCTTCCTGGAGGCTGCCTGGGTCAGATCCGTGTTAGAAACGGGGTGAGGGGGGAAGGGGGTGTCCCTTGAAAGGCGCCCTCACAGCTCTGGAGCCCCAGCCCGCCGCCGACATGTGTTTCTGCCTGCAGATCCACATGAAGACGATGCCGGCTGCCATGTACAGACTGCTGACGGCGCAGGAGCAGCCCGTCTACATCTGAGGCCGCGCCCCGGGGTGGCTTGCATGGAGGACTCTCCTCACTTGTGGTTGTGTTTCTCGTGCTGCATCTGTGTGCCCACTGAGACCTTCCCCTCTCACGCCCAGCACTCGGTTTGACACGGAGGAAAAGAATCCACAGCGACCTCCCTCTCTCTCTCTCCAGTTTGCTTTCTTTGTTTCAAATGCCAGGGAAGTCTTGTATGCACTCCCTTGAGGCTGGAGAGCAGGTCAAAGCCACCTAGAATCTGCCGAGGACCTTCCTGAAGGGCCCTTGAGGGAGGGGGATGCCTGAGGAGGGTTGTCGCCACCCTGCGCCCTCCCTTTCCGAGAGGTGCAGACCTCCGAGGAGGAGCCCCTCGGGACGTGAGGAAGCCGATTCCGCAGTGCCTACGATCCAGTGGCCGATGTGTGCTCTCTCCCAGTCAGCTCATGGGAATATGGTGGTAATGGGGGGCCGGCCCACCGTGTACCTGGGGCATCATATGCTATTTCCTCACAGAATTTCTGAGCCAACCTTATGCCTCTTCTATAGCCAGTTTTAGTTTCAACATTTTCTAATGTGAACCTTTTCACCCCGGGACAGAAGGGGAGCTACTGTGAGGCGGATACCCATGCAGAGAACTGGGCAATTCCCGAGGTTCCCAACCGTTAGATAAACAGGCGGGTACTTCTGCCCCCTTCCGCACCACACGTACGTACACACGTCTCACTTGCATATATTCCACCCTGCCCTCCTCCCCACCACCAGTCAGGCAGCCAGAGCCCCTGGAAAACCTACATGGCCTCTCTGTGCGGCCCCTTCCCCCCAGGTGAGGGCCGCAGGGGCTGGGGAGCCCTGTCCGCAGAGAGACGGCCCTCTGAGGCTGAGGTCCAGCCCTGCCGGCAGCTCCTTGGCTCAGCGGGTTCTGCTGGACTCCCATGCACCCCACCTCAACACATACCCCCCCACACACTGGGAGTCTGGACAGGATGGACTGCTCCCCTTGAAGATGAGGAACCCAGTGTGATCGTGCTAACACTTCCTGGTCCAAGGTGGGACCAGCCTCCTCTTCTTCTCAGGACCACGAGGCAGGATGTGACATTTGAGAGGCCAGCGCCGTACATAGACCACAAAACTAAGGGGACAGTCGTGACCTCAGGCGATGCCTAAGAATCCCCAGATGAATTCCAAAAACATCTTGCTGCCTCGGGGGCCTGAAAAAGCTTTTACTTGGTGTGGAATGTTACGTGTTCTCGTCAGGCGCCTCATGTCCGTGGGTTTCGTTCGTCTCGGTTCGGTGCAGATATTTTCGTAATACCATGATTCTGAGCCAGTTTTCACTTACTCCTGGTCCAAAGAGCACTTTTGTTTCCATGTGGGTGGGGTGTGGCTTCGTTTGGTTTTTGTTGTGTTCCGTTCGTGACCTCCACAGAGACAGGGTCAGAGAAACTATTTTGTGATATTATTATAGTCCCTGTTCTCAACATCTGGGCTCTTTATGTTGTGTCTGTGGAAATAGCAACCTGGTGAGCACATGTTGGGTAGTATGGATTTATACCTCGAATAGAGGGATTTCAGGGAGGGAGAAGATGAATAAGAAAAGACTGGAAACAAGAGACTTCCGCCAGAGAGGTTGTGCAGTCAGCGCCCCGGGATCTCTGTGCTGAGTTTTCTGCGTAGGCAGGAAAGCCAGGTGCTTCAGTGGCGTTAGTGGCTGGACTCCCAGGGTGACCGTGAGTCAGACCCTGCCAGAGGGGCTATGCTGCCCACACATCCCCCCTGGGAAAGGGGCTGCCCCTTCTCCAAGGGTCCAGGGTGGGCAGTATGAGACCCCTGGACGACTTTTGAGGTTGCTGCTAAGTAGGAGACCAGCCCCAAGGCTAACCCACTGCGAACATGAGGAGCCACGAACCCCAGTACCATTTACCAAACTGTAGTGTCTGCTGACATACAATTAAGTACTCAAGAGTCCTGAGTTCACCTTTGCCAGAGAGAGTGGGTAAAACAGGAATGCAGCATTCTGGGTGGCATTGGGAAATAACCGGAGAGTGGCTCGTGCCCTCTGCTCCCAGGTAAGCTCTCGAGCCGCCTGTCCCCACGCCCCTTCAGAGGCGTCGGTGGTCGGCCACTGGACAGGCACCCCACCAGCACATCCCCACATAATTACAATGAAGCGTCTTCACCCAAAGGAAATTACAATGAAGCGTCTTCACCCAAAGGAGAGGAGGAGGCAGGCTACACTTCCTATTGCTACTGCACAAAAATCTTAGGTTTGGCAGGTGTTTTTGACAAGGCCGGTTTGGTAAACTCTCCTAGAAGACTAACATTTTAGTGTAAGATTATCCCACCACATACCTTTGTGTCAGTAAGAGTGGCTTCTCACACCCGGATAGCCAGATCTCTAGCTTGGTGGAGGTTCAGTCGGCTGTAGTATGTTCTTACCTGCCTGCTCCCTCTGGGTGGAGGGGAGTCAACCTATCTTCAGAAGTTAACCAGGAGGCAGGATCTTAACAGACATTCCGTTTGGGAAGTCTCACAGGAAGTGATGGCCTGTTTCCCTCTGACATCCCAGTATATATAGTTACATATGTAAATATCTGAAAACCCCAGGTAATGGCAAAAACTATGTACAGAGCAGCCTTCCCAATGTGGCCCTGGGCAAAAAGCCACTGTCGCCACTTGGCTTGGACATGCTGGTGACTCAGCTTTGGGGATAGATGCCCAGATCCATCTACTCCCTCCTGGTCCAGCCAGGGTGTTCCAGAACCCGTCCTGCCTCTGCCTTCTCAAATGTGACCATTTCAGGGAGCCACCCTCAGCCTTGGGTTCACGAGAGGATGAAGCCCCCAGAGACCAGTGCCGAGCCTGCTCCCCTCTCGGGAGCGGCTCCTCCAGGCCTGGAGCCCATCACGGGGCCCTGGACTCTTGAGTCCCTGCATCCGGGTCTGCTTTCCCAACATTGTCCATCGGCCCCGGCCTCAGAGAGTCCCAGAGTAACCTACTACCTCCCCATCGCTCCCACTATCCCGGTCACACCCGCCACCCCGTCTGCACACAGATGAGAGCCGCCCACGAGCCCTTCTTGGGTCCCTGGGCCCAGCAGTGAGGCTGTTACCAATGTTTACAATCAGGGCACCTCCTCTGGGGCGTGTTTACTCTCCCACTCCCAAGGCCACTTGCTGGTTTGAGTTTCGTGTCCATCTGCTCCTTCCCTGGTTGAGGCCGACTTGAACACACAACCCTGATCTTACGTCCCGACCCTCCGTCAAGGCCATGGTGAGGACTGTGTGGGGAGGATATTCCTTGTACATACTCAGCACAGCCCCTAGAGTTTGGACTTGTACTATTGTTCTGTAAAGAGGGTGAAATAGAGCTTATTGTAAAGCGTTGGGAGAAGTATAGTATTGTATTTGTAACAATATGGTTCTTTGTATACACAAAACTCAATGATCTCTATATATAATTATAAATAGATATAAATAAGATATATATACACGTGAGCCTGGAATGTTGATGCCGCACACCCACTGAATGTATTTCCCCTGACAGTCTGGTCACTGGGCTGGCCCGCCCTCCCCTCCTCCGTACTGTTTCGGAGGTTGTGATGTATTTAACGTGTTCCCTTCCTTTATTTAACTGAACGCTAATGTCTGTAAGAGTTGCCGCAACAATAAACAAGAACGTCACCTCTTGGCCCCGGCTGAGCGTCTTCATGTTTCAGGGGAGGGACAAGACTGAAAGTGGGGGAAAGATGTCATCATCCCAAAAGGCCACCTCCTACCCATACCGGGGCGGGGGGGGGNCTGCTCAGTGCCCAGAGCCCATTGCCTAGACGGGCAGGTCCTGTGAAGCCAACTCAGCTAGGAAACACAAGCGGCTGTGTCAGCTGGTAGAATAAGTCCACTGTCTCGTCCACCTCCTGGGAGCACACTGCATGGGACACAGGAGCCCTCTGGGCTTCTCAGTTAGGAAGGGGAAGTAGCGGTGAATTACCTTCCCCAAGAAATCTCCAGGGAGGCGAGGTAGCCCTGCGTAAGTGGACTGCAGAAGGAAAACGTTCCCTGTCTCATCCCCCGCCGCTATCACAGAGGACAGAGGAGCCTGGCAGGCTGCAGTCCGTGGGGTGGCAAGAGTCGGACACGACTTAGCGACGGGACAATAGCTCAATCATTGCCGTACGGCAAAAATTAACATTGTAAATAAACTATAACGATAAAAGGAAAATCTGACTCATACAAATATAGAATGAACATGTTATCAAATATAGAATGAACATGTATCAGAGATTTATTAACTCACTGATGAAACAGGTAAGATGGGAAGAGTATTTTGAAGAACTAAGTATAAAGTTTTTTAAAAGGACTTAGAATGAAACCTCTAGGTTAGATATAATCGGTTAATGTCCTTCAAGGCCCTATAACTATCACCTTTGGAATTACCTTTTCTAAGCAGAAATCATTTGCATCTCTAGTTGGGGGTAGACGGAGGACTGTTGGATGATAATAAAAGCCAAGCAGAAGAATAAAGCACAAAAAAAGAATCAAAAGCAGGGACTCTAGCAGATATTTGTGCACCCATGTTCATAGCAACTTAATACACAGTAGTCATACTAGAAGCAACCCAAGTATCTATCAAGGGATGAATGAATACCCAAGATGTATACATATAAAATGGACTATTACACAGCCTTAATAAGGAAGCAAATTCTGACACATGTTGATGCTTGAAGACAAACATGCTAAGTAAAATAAGCTAGTCAAAAAGGGACAAATATTGTATGACTTAACTTATATGAGCTATCTAGAGTAGACAAATTCATAGACACAGGAAGAAGAATGTTGCTAAGGGCTGAGGGAGGGCAGAAGGGGGAGCTCTTGTTTAATGGATATAGTTTCCATTTAGGAAGATGGAGAATGTTCTGGACATGGGTGGTGGTTATAGTTGTACAACAATGAGAATGTACTTAAAGCCTCAGAATTTTAACCTTAAAAA